GCTTAAGGAGTGGGAGGCGAGAAAGAGGAGAGACGGTCACACTGGGAAAGGCTCGGGCAGGCCCGGGGCTCAGAGTACAGACACCATCTGGGCCCAGTGCCTCGGCTCCCTGGGGGAGGGTGTCAGCAGCTGAATTTCTGCCCAGACTGCACACCCCTGTGGGGCCAGAGCAGCTGTAAAAGGGCAGGGAGAGGACCTCAGGTCTGACTGCTCTGAATCTAGACCTTGACTTAACGCCTCTGTCTCCACCTGCCCCTGGCCCTCCACAATACCTGCGGATCTCACACCGGGACCCTTCCTGGGGCTGCACAGGGCACACGTCTCCTTCCCGAGCAGTGCTCTTTCCGCAGGCTTTCTGCCCCTCTCCCGGCCCACACTTAACTCCCCTCTGCTAAGTCAGGCCCTCCTGCCTCTACCTTCTCTCAAGCAGTCTGGTCTCCTCTCCCATTCTCTCACAGGTTGGCAACATCTGGATTCTTTGGCTGTCATTTCAGTGGGGTTTCTCTGGGGCTGGGAGAGAGGCAGGTTAACATGTATATGTTCAACTTGCCACATTAACCAAAAGCCTCTTTAATTGCCCCTTTGTCATTCGCTCCTTCTCATCAGCATCAAAAAGTGTTTTTATTGTATTTTACTGCAGTAAAAACATTTAACATGAGATCTACCCTCTTAGCATATTTTTAAGGGGATGTTACCTTCCTGTTGACTATAATTCATCATCATTAAAACCATCTCAAGTTTCTCCAACATTAATGAAACTGAGAAGTTTTTTTTAAATTAAACTTTTTATTTGGGAGCATAGCCAATTAACAATGCTGTGACAGCTTCAGCTGAACAGTGAAGGGACTCAGCCATACACACACATGCATCTGTCCTTCCCCCTCCCATCCAGGCTGCCATATAACACTGAGCAGAGAGCACTGTGCTCCATTTTAAACGTAGTGTGTACATGTACATTCCAAACTCCCTAACCATCCCTTTCCCTTTTTTTTTTTTTAAAAAAAATCACCTCTCTGTATTTATTTATCTGGCCAACTAGATCAAACCCAGGCCCTTGGCAGTGAGAGCTCAACAGTCCTAACTGCTGAACTACTAAGGAATTCCACTCCCTTTTTTAAAAATAATATCATCAGTGATAAGTCATGTTTTTTTGTTTCCTTTCTTTTTGCCACACCACACAGCTCACAGGATCTTCATTTCCTGACCAGACAAACCCAGGCCCTGGCAGTGAAACTGCTGAGTCCTAACCACTGAACCACCAGGAAATTCTCTACTGCATTCTCTTTTCCTTCTGAGCCAAACTTCTTGGAATAGTTGCTCAATTCTCACCTCTCCCTCAACATCCCTGAGTTTTTCTCCTGTCATGTTCCTTCTACCCCCATCAACCTACTAAAGCCGTTCTTGCAAAGGATACCCCGGTTGATAGATGCAATGGCCACTGCCTAGTTCTCACCTCACTTGACTCTTAGTAAGTGTGACATCATGTGTGCTCACTCCTTCTCGGAACGCTCATCCCTTGGAGCTTTTGAGCCTGTACCTCTCTGCAGTGGGCTGCACATTGTTTAGCAGGGCTTGTGTAGTACAGACTACACTTTCCATGCCAGCTTCACCTCTTGCCACGCCATATTGAAGTTCTAGGCTACAATGCATGCGCGTGTGCATGCGTGCTAAGTCACTTCAGTAGTGAGCAACTCTGTGTGACCCCATGGACTATAGCCCGCTGGGATTCTCTGTCCATAGATCTTCCAGCCAAGAAGACCGGAGTGGGTGGCCATGTCCTTCTCCAGGGCTACAATGCATCAAATTTCTTTCAGCTTCTAGATCAAGCCATGCCCTGTTTTTCTTCTGGTCTCTGTACTTCCCATTCACTTTTATCTGGCCAAATTCTGCAAATTCCTTATGTCTGTGTTAAATGTCTCTCCTTGTATTCCCACTACCAGCAAGTTCACTGAACGGTACTGTAACTGCCTGCTCACTTGTCAAGTTCATGAGGACAAAACTCTCATCTATCCTTTACCTTCTTCAAAGCTGTGTCACTAGAGCTTCCACGATGGCTAGTGCATGGGAGACATCCAATAAATGTCAGTTGAGCGAATGAATAAAGACACAATTGCGAGAGGGGAAGAATCAAATACCTCCAGAAATACACTTTCTTATATTTTCTCTTTAATGGGCCAGCAGAGCAAGTGAATTTGGTCTACAGAAAAAGACTTGACACCCTAACCTAAATTCTTTGGCTCCCTTTCCTCCTATCCAGTCAGCGTATCTGACAGACGCTCACCATTTTTGTTATAAAAATAACCAAATGCAGAGTCAGGATATCAGAGCATCAATAAAGCAGCTCCACAGACTCAGCAAAGGCCAACTGTCTCCATGTTTCAGTACATTTAAAACTTCTATATAGATATACCGTTGGGTTTTGAAGTGCTGTGAGAGTGAAAATGTCTTACTCTGGTAGTTTTAGTGTAATCTGGGTCACATGCTAAAACAGGCCTTTTAAAAGACAGAAGCATTTCTGAAAAAGAGGCAGATGAGCTCTGCTGATAGAATCCATTAGGCTGCTCAAACCATGAGTGTGGTAGACTCCAAAGAGGAAAAACAAATCCCAGCTCAAGCGAACTGGATTTCTAGCCTTCAGTTGTCATTTAATGACTGTAAGTCAAGCTCTCAACACTTCAATGTCCCAAACACCTTCACTGTCACCCTGATAATGCTTATACCCGGGCAAGTATCTTCTTCTTTAGGGCATGATGAGACATCTTTCAAGGCATGCTGACATTTAGGTACTTTGAATTGTCTCTAATATTTGACCACATTTAGCCTGGAGAATCCCATGGACTGAGAAGTCTGACAGACTACAGTCAAAGGGTCACAAAGAGCTGGACACAACTGAAGAGACTTAGCACACACACACAGCCACAACTGTAGAAAACCTGCTTAGCTGCAAAGAGATGTTAAAGTTATGACCAACCTAGACAGCAATATTGAAAAGCAGAGACATTACTTTGTCAACAAAGGTCTATCTAGTCAAGGCTATGGTTTTTCCAGTGGTCATGTACGGATGTGACAGTTGGACTATAAAGAAAGTTGAATGCAGAAGAATTGATGCTTTTGAACTGTGATGTTGGAGAAGACTCTTGAGAGTCCCCTGGACTGCAAAGAGATCCAACCAGTCCATTCTAAAGGAGATCAGTCCTGGTTGTTCACTGGAAGGACTAATGTTGAAGCTGAAATTCCAATACTTTGGCCACCTGATGCGAAGAGCTGACTCATTTGAAAAGACCCTGATGCTGGGAAAGATTGAGGGCAGGAGGAGAAGGGGATGACAGAGGATGAGATGGTTGGATGGCATCACCAACACAATGGACATGGGTTTGGGTGGACTCCAGGAGTTGGTGACAGACAGCACAGTTGGCGTGCTGTGGTTCGTGGGGTCACAAAGAGTCAGACATGACTGAGCAACTGAACTGAACTGATAATAAATACCCTGCTAGATACTACATTCCCACCTGGAAAAACCTAGAAAGAACTCTGCAGTTAAGTCTAGTCTCTTGATAATGAACCACCATGTTGAAAAAAAAAAATTCTGAGCTCAGAAGGAAGAAAGGAAAGGTGTCGTGATGAATTGTTTGTCTAAATAGATATTTATTTCTACTGTATTTGACTCTCTGCCCCCAAAGAGAATTCATACATTTATAACTGAAAAATGTAAAATATAACTCTTCACAAACAGATGCTCTAAGGCAGAGGAAGAGAGTGAGAAAGGAGGGCAAGACACTCCTGGGCTTGTCTTCTCCCAGAAAGACCCAACAGCAATTCAAAGACGACCCTAGACAGGGTTTACCGGAATAGGAGTCCTCCAGGACAAAAAGCGCAAGGAAGGAACTAGTCCAAGACAGAGATGCCGCCCCAGTACAACCAAAACCCTGAGTACGGCAGGTACACTGCAGCAGCCGCCATGACCTCCTCCCCTGGGCCGGACTCTGTGAAAAGTAAACTTCTGCCTCTGCGCTCCTGCTGGGGTCCGGTTTAACCAGTTCTCACTTGTATTTAAATGTTAGAGAGCATGGAATTCACCCAGGACACCCACTCCCTCCTCCCATCACCATCAGACACACCTTCCCTGAAAGGCTGGCAGGAAACCCCACATCCAGTTGATAATGCGTGTCCTGGACAGACTATGAGCCAAGTATTTGCCCAAATGTTCACACTGTTCCTTCCATCCTTTTCTTCAAAAATTAAACCACCTATATGAAAATACATGCTAAAAATCTTGCTGGTGAGTACACTGGACCCAGTCATTCCTTGGGTTTTAGTGAAAAGGAACAGACAAATGAGTGATTAACTCAAGGCATCATAGCGTTGACTTTTTCTCCACTACTGAGCCCTTCTTAACTTTCAAAACCACAATGACTATGAACCTTACACTGTAATACCATGTGACATAGGCTGCTCCCTTTGGCCAGACTCCTCCTCCTTCCCCAGGTACCTGTCTGACTCCGACCTGGCTTCTCAGCTAGCTCGGACACCGCCTCCCCCAACGACCTTTCCTTAACGAACTACACCCCCTCCCTAATTCCTCACAACAGTCCTTCTCATACTGAATTAGGTATCCCTCCTTGGGGATCCAAAATTAAACTCTGCTTATGACCTTCACAGGAATAATCACACAGTACTCTGCCTGTATATAGGACACATCTCCCCAACTTGTCTTTGAACTTCTCAAAGACAAAGATCGTTGCTCATCCTTCTATTTCAGTTCATAGCACAGACCAGACATCCTAGTATTCAGCAGACATTCTAAACCATGTGTGAGATGAGTGCATGAATGTATGAACAAACGATGACGTTTAGACTTAGAATTCAGAGATGAGTCTTTAGAAAACATTTAGTCCATCCCACTCCGTTCAAAGTTTCCCAAACAAGTTATTTCCTAAGAGTTATGTTCAATGAAGGATGTACATTTTGCAAATGAAAACAGCATTAAATAAAAGCCTTACCGGCAAAGTTCCAGGTAGAGATGCATCAAAAAAAGATACCAAAGAATTGGGAGGAGCTGCAAAGCGGACTTGAGATCCAGAAAAGAGTTTGGAGTTGGAGGCAATCTGGGCATGAATCTCCAATCCTACCACAGCTGCCCATTCACATTCACTAAAGAGGAAAACATAATGGTTAAGAAGTCATTAGGTTAGATCTATTACCATGCGTGAATAAGCTTAAACTGCAAATGTTACTAATACTTCCCACTTGTCCTTTTAACTTATTAAAATTGTATATTCTACTTTAAAAAATGTGTTATATTGTACTGGGTGACTAAATCAAAAGCAATGCAAAATGAACACCAAGAAGACTGGCAAAGCAATATTCATTTATAACATGGCATAAGAAGAGTTCACTGTGCAAACACGGTAACAGAAAGCAACAATACGGCATCTGAAAACAATTCAGAAATGGTTATCAGGTGGAGACTGCTTGGCTGACTTTAATGAGAAGCACCATTTTCTAAATTAACTGTCCTCTGTCAGTTAATCACTCAGTACATGAAGAAAGCTGATTTTGTGAACATTTTTAGAATTAACAGAAACATCAGGATTTTACTAATAGAGAAATAATGATAAATAAATAGTTGTATATCTCATTATTTAAAAAGGAAGGGAAATTCTCAGTCACGTTTTGAATTCATTTTCTAACAATGGTTTGCAAGTAAAGTAACCATAATAATACAGATAAAATGGATTACTACTAAATGATAATCTTTGGAATTCTGCACAAAGGAAAACATTAAATCATCACAAGTGGCTTTTCCCCGCCCCCTGGTTCCCCAAATCACTTTAAATTTTGGAATACTCAGGTTCCTTTGCATGTTTTAAACTTAATTGCTACCAAATCCAAGAAGTTGCAATAGTGCAGTTTAAATGCTACAATAATCTCTTATCTGGTCACTCCTACTCTGTTGGGTCTGTAGGAACATTCCATACACAGGTCTCCCTAAGTTCATCTAACTGTGCTTATTCCATGGGTTGTTATCAAACCAATGTATCCTGGGCAATCTGTAGATGGCCTGGTGAACATATACTCTCTCCATATTCTGTCTGTTCCTATCCTGCTCTTCCCTCAAGCAATTTTTTGTATTATCAAAATTTTTATTTACGTGCATTTGGTTTTGTTTCAATCATTTCAACACATGAAGTTCTGTATTTACAGTACTGGTGAATTCCTTATTTTTAAAGTTTGCAATCACAAACGATAATTGAGAGGAATTAAACTAAGAAGGCATCAGAAATCTGCATTCACTAAAACCTTATTGAATTTTTTTTTGCAGTTTCATGACATAAAGAGAAAAACTATTTTTTACTCATTTTTCAGTGGAACAACCTAATTTAATGAAAACAACAGAACTAGTGCTTCTGGACATTTCCCCCTCTGTTACAACAGAAAAGCAAAAATAACAGCAACCTAACTATCTCAAACAAAAAAATGAATATTAGACACATGCCTTATGTTTCTGCACTTAAAAAGAAATCATTTAGGTCTTACATAGTGAAATTTAAACAGCTGTTCAGAGAATATTGAGCAAAATAAGCAACAGTCTCTACACAACCAGAGGGAAGATCTCTTATACTGGCTGTATCCTCCTAGGTCTACAGACACACGTTCAACAAGAAAGGCCTCCACAGATAGGTGGTTTTCTCTAACTCTAAGCCACCCATCCAGAACTTGTAGGTAAAGGCTCCTTTTTACCATTAAAACACTGCTGGCCCGTAGTTGTGTTAAATACATGTCAGCTAAATAAGATCCCACTTCTATTGATACTGGGCTGACTACTAGGTAAGGTGACTGAACCACTCTTCTGCCTGTGAAACAGTCAAGAAAACACTATTTTACACTTGCAAATTACCCAAATAAGGCTATCTGAAGACACTGGTTTACGTGTGGGGTAGGGGCTGATAAGACAGCCAGTTTCCTGTCTTTATTTAGGTTTCAGGGCTGCAACATACAGCCCAACACCTTCCCGCCCACCAAAACGTCCAGAGTTAAGGCTGGGCTGTAGTGGGTATCATCTCCCAAGTCCCGCAGTTCTACCTCAACTTAAGTGGGAAATACTGGTATGAAATAGTATACCCTTTTATTGGCTTCTGGGCTGTGATGTGGGGCTGCTGAGCCACTGAGCTCTGCCCCTTTTTCCCGTTGGACGTGGACCCAGTCGGAGGCCCTCTTCTGTGGTAAGAACCGCAGCCAACCCGGGCGAAAGCAAAACGCCTTCCAGGACAGAACCAGCGCAACGTGGACGCCGCCATTGTCTCTCCAGAGTCCTGATCAGGTGACACAGCCTCCCTCTGCCGCAAGGCTCTCTGGGAAACGTAGTTCTAAGAAATTAGATACACCGCGCTAGACACGGACCGGAAGACTACTCTTCCCAGAGAGGACTGCGACCGGAAGGCTTCCGGAACCGGGCGGGGAGGGGGCGGGAAGGAGAAATAGACGGGAGAGTGGGAGGGTTTCTGGGTCGGAAGGTGTGACTCCTCCTAGCGGGGAGTTGGAGAGGTTTGTAGCTGTGAGCACGTGTGAGAGAGAGCGGGCGGTTGGCAGAGATCGAAAGGTGAGAAACGTGGCTGGGATTTTATACCCCAGTTAACCTGTCGGGCTGAAGTAAATGACCTTGACATCTCCGTAAAGACTTTCTGAACCCCCTCAACCCAGTTCTTTTTTCTGCTGCTTTTTCCACTTCAGACATCCATGTATGCATAAATGCAAGAAATACTTATTTGCATGCAAATATGCTCGGCATGGTTCTTAGACACTGGGGATTCAGCAGTGATCCCGGCAGATACAGCCACTATGTTCACGGAACTTATATTCTTGGTAGACTACACATACAGAGAAGTTAACAAAAATAGGATGCTTTCACATAGACCACAAGGACTATCTTAAAGCAGTTTCTTGGGAGATAGACCTAGATTGAAACCTCAAGAACATTTTAAATTTTTCTTTTGGATCTTGGCCAGTGTTTGAAAACACTTTCCTTACATACAGTGGAAACCTTGATAGCAGATAGCATCATCCCAGTGGACTTCTTTTTTTTTTTTTCCTGCTTCAAAATGCATCCCCATCTTGAAATGCCCACTGATTTCTTGTATTTGAACATACGATTTAGACTAGCTATTCCACCACTGTCTATTAGATCACCCTATATTAATCCCGGAGAAGGCAATGGCACCCCACTCCAGTACTCTTGCCTGGATTTTCCAGGACAGAGGAGCCTGGTGGGCTGCAGTCCATGGGGTTGCTAAGAGTCGGACATGACTGAGCGACTTCACTTTCACTTTTCACTTTCATGCATTGGAGAAGGAAATGACAATCCACTCCAGTGTTCTTGCCTTGAGAATCGCAGGGATGGGGAGCCTGGTGGGCTGCCGTCTCTGGGGTCGCACAGAGTCGGACACGACTGAAGTGACTTAGCAGCAGCAGCATATTAATACTCCACATAGTGCTTGTGACTATCTGATGTTTGTCTTCCATCTTGAGAATGGGAAATTGGTCTACCTTATTCAACACAGTATTACCAAAGTACAAAGTAGGCCTCTCAGAAATGCTAATTGATTGAAGGAGTGCTATGTGAGGAATACATTGACAAAACAATGGAGTACATTCCTTTCAGAGTAGTAGTTGTGTGGGAAGGAGATGAAATAGTGTGGTGGTGGAGGCAGAGAGAAATTGACCTCTATGAGGTAGATTAGGAAGGTAAGATTGGAGAACTTGGTGATGGATTAAATATAATGGTTGAAGCCTAGGGGAGGGTCAAGTAACTTCTGAATTTCTGGTTTATACAACTGGATGGCCGATGAAGTTACTCATTGAGATAAGGAAATTATAAAACAAACAGGTTTTTCAGAAAATACGACTTTGGTTGCCTTGGAGACATAGGAGAAGTCGAGTAAGCATCATTGATGCCTAACTGGATATTGAACAGGGGGAAAAGCTGCGTACTTCATATATGTCACATGGATAGATTTGCAGTTATTGATCAATAACCTGTTGATTGTGTGTGTGTGATTGTGTCACACACACTACCGTGTGTGAGCTCAGTAGTGTCTGACTCTTTTCGACCCCATAGACTATAACCCACCAGACTCATCTGTCCCTGGAATTTTCTAGGCAAGAATACTGGAGCAAGTTGCCATTTCCTACTCCAGGGAATCTTCCCCACCCAGGGATTAAACCTGAGTCTCTCACGTTGGCAGGATAATTCCTTACCACTGCGTCACCTAGGAGGCCCAACCTGTTGATTAGACATCTGTAACCTATGGGCTATTTCCATTAGTACTATTGTACAGTTATAATAGTATGCAATTTAATCCAACCAAGTAGGCAGCTTTAATTATTTTCATTAAAATTGTTTAATTTTTCTGTCCTTTTTATTTTTTCATCCACTATCACTGATCCAAGTTGCTGTACTGAAATATGACCGAAAATGAGAGAAATGACAGAGACTGTAAAGTAGAAGTGGAGACTGGTCCCGGAATTTATCTCTAGTCACTTATTGCTCTATCAGGTTCAGATCACTCTTTAGAGCCTTTACTAGTACATCTCCTCCGAGTTTCCCCCCTCTGCTCTGGGTAAGCTTGCCTTCTGTTTCTTACTCAGCCCTCAGGTTTACCTGGCCCAGCCCCAGTGTCAAGGGAGTTGTCTCTGCTCACATCATGGCTCCACCTTTGATAGGACTGCAGAGGAGAGGGAGCATCCTGTAGCTCAGAAGTGAGAATGGGCATCCTTTAGCCAGAAGGAGAGGGAGACCATTGCTACCTTCCCACTGGTAATCAGCCTGCTTAGGAGCCTAATCACTCCCTAGGGTGAAGAGTTTGGAAACCTCTGTAAGAGGGCAGCACACCTATGAAAATCCTTATTTCATGGACAAAATGTGCTCTAATGGAAACTCATCTTTGTTTATGAGGTAATATTGTGCAGTAATGGGCTTCCCTTGTGGCTCAGCTGGTAAAGAATCTGCCTGCAATGTAGGAGACCTGGGTTCGATCCCTGGGTTGGGAAGATCCCCTGGAGAAGGGAAAGGCTATCCACTCCAGTATTCTGGCCTAGAGAATTCCATGGACTGTATAGTCCATGGGGTCGCAAAGAGTTGGACAAGACTGAGCGAATTTCACATCGCTATTTGCTATTGTGCAGTAATAGCATATACCGCCCCACCATTCAGTCAGTTTAGCTGCTTAGTCATGTCCGACTCTTTGTGACCCCATGGACTGCAGCACACCAGGCCTCCCTGTCCATCACCAACTCCTGGAGTCCACCCAAACTCCTGTCCATTGAGTTAGTGATGTCATCCAACCATCTCATCCTCTGTTGTCCCCTTTTCCTCCCACCTTCAATCTTTCCCAGCACCAGGGTCTTTTCCAATGAGTCAGTTCTTTGCATCAGGTGACCATAGTATTGGAGTTTCAACTTCAGCATCAGTCCTTCCAATGAATGTTCAGGACTGATTTCCTTTAGGATAGACTGGTTGGATCTCCTTATAGTCCAAGTGACTCTCAAAGAGTCTTCTCCAACACTACAGTTCAAAAGCATCAATGCTTCGGTGCTCAGCTTTCTTTATAGTTCAACTCAGGCATACATCACCCCTGGAAAAACCATAACTTTGACTAGATGGACATTTTTGGCTAATGTCTCTGCTTTTTAATATGCTGTCTAGGTTGGTCATAGCTTTTCTTCCAAGGACAAGCCCCACCACTAGAGGGAGAGAAAATCCTAGGCACATATTTGATCGCATCAACAAATGGAGACCTTCCAGCTTGATGTGTATGATGCAGCCCTTTCAGAATAGCACAGGAGCTGATGGCTCTCTTCTCCCCGAAGGTTGTCGTCACCAGCAATGCCCACTGGCGCCCCTGTGCCTGGTCTGGTGCCTAGGAGCGCATTGATTTACCTCCTGCCTAGCCAGGGGCTCCCACCAAACTTCCTCCTATGGGACCATTTCTCTTGTGTTCCTCCTGCATGCCAAGTCTGCTATCTGTTGGAACTCTTACTGACAGCTCTAGAGCTGAGAGAGCTATTTTGGTTTCACCGAAAAGGTGGCTGTCATCTGGAAGATATGGAGGTTTTCATTTTCAAGAAGCACAGAAGGTTCCTAGGACAGGGTTCCTAGCAAAAACCTTTTCTTTGGGAGAGTCTCTCAGTTCTTATTTTATTCACATAATTGACACAGTACAAATAAATTTAGAACAGGTTCTTGAAAAGATATGTAAGCCAGGACAGAATTTCAAGTTGTTACTTACAAATGGCAATGGTTAGGAGATATATCTAAAATAACATGCTTGGTTGTGTTTAGTATTCTTGAGAGAGTCTTTGAACATCAGAGTTGGAACACACTGGCTTACCTCTGTGCTTGACTCAGAATCCCCAGGTATCTGTAGAAAACACATTGATTTCCAAACACAAATAATTTCTCCGTCAATCTAAGTGGTATTTAATTGTACTTTCCTTCTCATTCTTTCACTGGATTGAGATGGGGGAAATGATGTATAGAAACACAATATTCTAGGATTTATAACTTCTTCAGCAACATGGATACAATGTGAAGGGAAGACACAAATGGCTCTGTTCCCATTTTTTTAAAACAAAGTAAACAAGTTTAATGGAGACATTGAAATTTCAAGTAAAATTAAAAGGATTCGTTTGAATAATGTATCATGGCAGTCTATCTCAAAATTGACTTGAATATAATTCCGAATCTGAAAATTGTGTTAACTCACCTTTTATTTGACTAATGACTGTTGTGGAAACAAAGGCAGCACTCTCAAGACATCTAGCAGACTAAAAAGCAAAATGCCCCTTGCAGCCTAACGGACTGGGCGTGGATGGCTATCTGAGTGTTTTTAAACACGGTTGTGCATTTAGTTCCTCTGTTCAACTGTTAGTTTCTATCTGTTCTACAGTTATAACACCCAGCCTACTGTCTTGAGTGTTACATCATGTAGGGAGGGAGGAAGGTCAGGATAAATTTTCTAAGGAATAGAAGGTCCACTTCAGATGATGTACAGATGACAAAAACTGACACATCATTTTCAGGTTGGAAGTACATGGGCACTAGAGGAAGTCCAGTTTTGGGTTTTTTTTTTTTTTAAAAAGCATTTTGAAAACAAAATTTCTTTTTAGAAAAACCACCTTATGGGTCCCAATTGAGTGTCATTAGGGGGAGAAAAATGCTGAAAACACATGCATGCTGGGGAATCGGGAGAACAGGATTCATTTCCTTTTATTTTTACCCTAAAGTCTTGATTCTGGTAAA